AAATCCCGTTTTCTAGAAAACCTATTGCTTTTTTCTAGCTCTTTCTCTCTTCTAGAAAACGGGATTTTTCAAAAATCCCTATCTCAAGACCCCGAGATATAGCATAACTGTTCTTGATCGAAATATATAGAACTCGATGTGCTCTTTCATATGATACTAACTTCAAGGTTCTACAGTAGAGAATGTGGTCAGCAGACGTTCGAAAGAGCGAGTAAATTGAGCTCTTGTTCTAGGTTGAGTATCATTAGCTTCAATAAAACCATTGTAACCAATAGTGCAAGTGTAATGTCTCTAAGGATAAGACGAAGACTTCTTCTATCTTTTTTATTTATTTATTTCTCTCTTGTTATGTTTTATGTTCTTATGTTCACATGTGTGTGTTTCTGTATATAGTGCTAAAGTGGGTTTTTAACCCTTTGTACTCAGATTTATACTTTCCTTTTAATAAAGGTTCAAATCAAAGCTGCATCGAACTATATATAACTTTTTCCTTCTAACTAGTTTCATTCTGAGAAAAATACGAAAAACACATCGCAATCGGTTCGCGGAGCTATTGGTCAAAGCTAATCAATTTTTTCACAGATATGAAGTCCGAAGGGCAACCAGGAGTCTGGAACACCATAAAATCACATGTTCTTTCATTCTAGACACCTTTTGTATCCGTGTGAATCCGCATGGATCCTGGATCCACTTTTCCTTCTTGAATATTTAGCTGCAGTGTCCCAACTAAAGCTTGAGAAATAAATATCATTTTCAACTGCTTCTTTTGTCTTTACAATAAAACCGACTGTAAAACATATTTATTAGTAGAGTTCTACGTTTACCCTCCTCCAGAGATTTTGTGTTGAGGACCTATTATACATTTAACTGCGCTAAACTCATTTAAATGATATACTGTTTAGCCACGTCCATTAGCCATTTATTTACATGATGATAAAAGTGTATATTCTAGCCTGTTCTGTTCCGAAGTTTTATCGGAAATATTTATCATCGATTATTTAGCCACTAATTATTTATTTTGGCCATGCGATGTTACACTTGATTCTAATTACAAAAAGTATACCGAATTTTCATGCTTTATTTCTGTTAACAAATTATGCATTTTTTATTTAGATTATTAAATTTATTAAATAATCACATTGGTACATTTATATCAAGAAAAGTATCCAGCGTAAATTCGGAGCAGTTTCCGTTGTTAATATGCTTAACATTTGAACAAGGTCAAATAAACGTAACGAATATCATTCCTGGCTATGAATCAAAAGAAAGTGTTTTTAGTACACTTTTTGATTCAAGAGAATTATTCAATAATCGACAAGAAATTGTGATTTACAAAGTAAGTATTAGAAATTGAATTAGAATCACGGTGCGACATGTTGGGATTCTAGGAAGTTCGCGATTGTGCATCACTCTGTGCTCATTTGAGCAAAAACCAAATAGATGTAGTCGGCGAAGAAAATAATTCGAGTAACGATGACTTTCCTGAATATTGGTATCCAATAGTCGGAAACAACACATCATTCCGTTTTGAAGTGTCTGAGCTAACAACTGAATATCATAAGATTTTAAGTCAATTTTATCAGACAGTTAACTCTGTCAGATTAATTTCAATTGATCGCGTTGAACGAATTCAAAACTTGACATGGTTTAAGGAATACTTAACATTTAAATACGAATTTGATTTGAGACTAAAAAGAGAAACAGAGCAACGATTGTTTCATGGTTGTTCGCAAGATGCTGTCGACAAAATTATTCACCAATGCTTTAATCCAGAGCTCATAGGACGTCATGGTAGGTTCTCATCAGTTGGCTCACAGGAACGGACATACAGTGGACAGTTTTAATTCCTAATCGGAATATATTGCAAATCATTCTGCTATCCTTTTCAAAATACAATAGTGCCCATTGTTTTCTTAATAACTTTTGACCGGGAGTTTTTTTAAAATTTTCTCATAGCCCTAACAGTTTACTTTCAGAAAATGAAAACCGCAGCTCGCTAGCACGTCCCAATCAGAAGTTATTAAGAAAACTACGGGCATTATTGTAGTTTGAAAAGCATAATAATTGTCCGTTGTCATGTCTGTGTAAAAAATTTCTGTATGACTCAATCTCTGTTTTAGGTAATTCGTATGGTCGAGGCTTTTATTTTTCATCGACTGCGAAATACAGTAAACGCTATTCAATACCTGATTTGAACGGTGAACGATTTATGTTTATATGTCGTGTGTTAATCGGTAACAGTTGTTTAGGTAACAGTAGTATGACAGTTTGTCCGCCTGATTATGATTCAACAACAAATGGAAGCAATATTTTCGTGACGTACAATAATAAACAAATTTATCCAGAATATTTAATTACTTTTAAATAGTTGTTTTTCTACTAGCTTAAACCTAATATAAACAGCGGCCGCAGTGCCCTGCATATCAAAATTTGATGGTTTTTTTCTAAAGAAGCGATCTTTGAGACTTTTGCATATTCGGAATCAGCACGCTAAGTTACATTGTACGGTGCAAAAGTTTCGGCTGCGTCCCGACGCTTTTTGGACCCAGATTCTCCACCGCGAGTTTTCACGGTATATTACACTATATTCAGCCGTAGACACCAACGATGCCGCTTTTTTGCGTTCTCTTTTGTTTCGTTTTTCTTTGCTCTGATGCTTTTTTCTTTCTATACACACTATAGAGTGACACATAAAACAAGAAATGGAGAAAATAATAAATTTCATCTTTTTATCCAAAAGAAAGATTGTACTCACTATGAAATTAGTGTATATTCTGGCAACTTTCCAGATTAAAAAGTTAATCAAGGACGAGGGTCGATAAGAGACAAAATCGGCCCCCTCTCAGATCAATCTCATATTCACAGGTCTGATGTAGTTTTTCTCCGTGATTAAAACTAGCGCCTTAAAAAGAATGTTTTCATACCCCGTGTAAGAATTTCGCATCCAAACTTTTCTACCCTTAAATGAACTCCATCTAGGGTATTTTCCTCATTTCTTCTCTTTTGCTCAAAGCACACCTCAACTACCGTATACCACTGGGTAGAGAATTTCACGGGCTAGAACACGATACATATAATACTGATATGAAATTGGGCCTCGGTGTCCTAACACTGGAAATAATAGTTCCGACCTCCACAAATTCATAGGTCAACAGCGTTCATCGCTTAGGGAAGCCGTCAAAACTATGAATGAATCACTCGGATCAAACGAATCATTCGGATCATTTGTAGAATAATGTGAAGCGCTCCTCTGCGATGTTTGTATAAGAGAGAGAATATATAAAATCTATCTTTTCTTATCCATAATAGATTTTCTTTTGTTTATACGGTGAAAACATTTAAATATAAATAAGAGAATAATTGTCACCGTTTTTATCATTTTATTAGAGACGTTTCGTTATGAACTCATAACATCATCAGTCGAAATATGAAATGAATGAACAAACAAGACGAAAGAGTATATATATAGACAATACAAAGAGAGAGACAAGGACGCAAATGAAAAGAAAACGTTTTCTTTTAATCATTAATTTTTAACGCCCCCCAAACTTATTGTCTTTTGGTAATCAGAATACATTTGATATGAAACTCTTCTGTGGATATACCTGTTCGCCTTTCTTATGTCTGTACCAATCCATAAGTAAACTTTCTTTAATATTTCTTTTTAAGTCATTCGACTCTATTGCTAAGATGTTTGTATCCCAATTATTATTGTGATTTTTATTAAGGCAATATTCTGCAATTTTGGAGTATCCCATGCCCTTAAGAACTAGTCTATATCTCAGATGGACAAGTAATCAATCCCGCAATTATAAAATTAATTTAATTAAATGCCTATGTTTTCGTGAAAAAAAATTTCAAAAAAAAGAATTTGCTCATCGGATAGTCTATTTAAACAACAGTTAGAATATTACAAAAAGATTTTTATTGCCAATGGATATCCACATAATGTTGTTAAGAAAACTATTCGTAGTATTGAATTAACTATTAATAAGAAACAACCCGGTCTGAATATTCAAAAATTATTTATTCCTTTTCCTTATTAGGGTGAATGTTCTATAGTGTCAGCAAATAAGATTCGGAAAATGGGGATCTGAAGCCACATTTATTCTTTTTGGAGAAAATTGCTGTTTTTTTGGAGAAAAACGGAAGATGCAATCAAAAACTCGTTTAGAAGTTTTTCTTCTTCTGCGTGCTTGCACACAAGGGAATTGTTAATAAATATGTCAGGTAAAATCTGTGCTTTCTTTCTTCACCATCACAATCACATAATTCGAGACAAAAATGTTTACTCTACAAACTGTTTGCATTGAAAAGGTTTTGAAACATCAGCGTTCAAATTTAATCTATCGGTCTTGCATCTTGTCTGTCATCGTTTACTCAGTATTATTCTCCTTCTATATCTGCAGCTCTGATGGAAACGCTATTATCTTTCATTTTTATTCTCATGCTGAAAATTTAGATCTAAAAGAAAAGAAAAGAAATATTTCCTCAAAACACGCTTGAAATAAGCCAAAATTTTACATTTTTTAGTACAGCCTTTATATAGAGTTTTGTTCGAAAATCAAGTCTGGAAAAATGTAGCACTTGAAAAACTCTGTCGGACAAACTGACTTGAACGAAGGAGTAAGCAATTTTTATGTAATTTTGATATAGTCTAAATGGCGGTATTTGATTGACTGATATATTTGTTAAAAAAATTTAAAACAACAACAAGAACGGAAAACCAACAAATAACAAAGGATACGCGTTAATTTCCTGATTAAACATGTTAATGCAGAAAAAGCTCTCTTTCTCTTTTCATTTTTTTCTCCTCTATCTCTTTTCTATGTGACGAAAGTTGAAACGGAAAAAAATGTTTTTGCAAAAATAGATTCTAACAAACTGTTTCTTATTTTAAGCTCCAATTAAGAATTGCAATGTTTCACAGCGAATGTTTGACTTATTCCGGTTACTGTAGAAAATATGTCCATGTGATATGCTAACTCATTGTGTTTACTTTAAAATCCCCATGTAAATTCATTGCGTCTGAAAAGACGCGTTTAAACGCGTTTTTTTCAGAAAAAAATTGTCAGACGCGTCTTAACGCGTCGTACCGAGATGCGTTTAGACGCGTCTAGCACGTTTTATTAAAAAAAACGCGTCTTAACGCGCTTTACCGAAAGAAGTCTCCGCGACGCGTCGTACCGTGACGCGCTTAGGCGCGTTTGG